TAAAGTTGCCATGGTCTGTCAACCCTGCCTCTTCCATTAGGAGAGTATTTGTTCTGCTCTCGGTACAGAAATTGCACTTTACAGCTACAACCTCTAAGAGGAGCCATACTGGATCAGACGATTTCCATATTTGGCTCCCTTTGGTTCTCACATGGGTCAGCCAGATGACTGCAGTGATGAGAATCCTGCAACCAGTATGGCTGCTGGCAGTTTTTGGGATCTGTATACCGAAAATTTAAAAAAACAACAATAGGTTCTGAGCAGGACAGGAGCATGGTAGTACTCTCCTGCATGTATTCCCCAGAAAGTGGTACTGAGGGGCATGCTGACCGATAATGAAGGTAAAAAGTCATCGTGGTTAGTGGCATCAACATCCATTTCTTCCATGGATTTGTCTCATTCTCTTTTAAATCTGTCCACATGATGGCCATTGTTCTATCTTGCAGTACAGAAACCATAATTTAATATATAATAATTTAATATATACTTTGTAAAGAATACTCCATTTTATTTGTCCTAAATTCACTACCACTCAGCTTCATTGAGTGGATCCAAGTTCTAGAATTATATGAAACATAGGAAATTTCTCTATCCATTTTCTTCACATTTTGCTTCATTTTATGCACCTACGTATATCATTCCCTTCCTCATTTGTCCTTATTTCTAAGCTAAAAAAACATAATTTAAAAAAACTTTTCCAAACAGGGACATAGCTCTTTTGTGTACTATTCCCAAGGCTCCAAGTTTTCTTCTAGAGGTGCAGTGAATTGAATTGTACATAGTACTCCAAGTGTGCTTATATCACTAATATACATAGACATTATGATAGAGGCAGCTTTTATTTATTTATTTACTTATTTACTTGATTTTATTTCTGTTTCACCTTTCTCCCCAAAAGGGACCCAAGGCGTCTCACAAATAAAAATTCTAAAAACATTACAATAAAACAATTGAAAATATCATCTAAAAGTAATATAAAATTACAGACATCTTTTATTATTTCTTTCTTAATGATTCCCAAAAGAGGTTTTCTCTGTTTCACAGCAGTCACATATTATATTAGTGCCTTCATTAAGCTTTCCATAACTCTCTTTCCTGGGGAGTAACCACCTGCTCAAAACCCATCAATACTGTTTGGTTGCAAGGGATGAAGCTCAGGGAGTGCTGTCCCCACCAAATCATTGCTACTCCAACTTTCCCACTTGTTTTCAATTTTCTCTGATTGCTGTGAAGTAGACAGAAGGAAGCTGCCAGTTGATGGAACTAGCAGGAATTATATTTGCCTCTGTGTTCTGAGTTCCAGGGTTTCTTTCTTGCTCATTGCACTATTCATTCATAGGCTGTTGATTCAGCCTTTTAACTTTTTTGTTATTTCTGTCACAGCATCTCCATTACAAGCCACTTATAAGAAGTATGTATCTCCCTTGTTAAAACAGCTTCACTGGCTACTGGTTCATTTCCAGGCACGAGTAAAAGTGCTGGTAAAAGTGCTGGTTGTGACCTGTAAAGCTCTACATGGCTTTGGTCCTGTTAGTACACTCTGCATACCCCACATTCAATTTTGAGGTTTCCAT